GCCGCCTTGAGCTGCTCCCTGTGCCAATGCTGCCCTGTCTTAGCGCCAGCTGATTATGGCCTGAAACCTCCACAGACTGTGAGCTCCGTGAACGTGTTCCCCTTTAATTTGGGCATCCGGTATTTTGTCCTACTAATGAAAGAAAAGCATCTAAATCATAGCCCTTTATAAAAACTTGTATAAACCAAAGCTTTTTAATATTAATAAGAGAAGGAAAAATAACTTTTACTTTGCTACTCCATATGTTCGTTTATGTTACTATTTGGCTTTAAAGACTTTCATCTGTAATTGTGCATCCTACTATTTTAGGGATTTTTTTTTTTATTTTTTTTTTCATTTATACCCAATTTGCTCATTCTAACAGAATAAGTAGGAGTCCAGTAGTAAGTTCCTTTGGGTGTGTAGTCACATTTTCCATTACCTTTTTCACCTCTCACTACATATTTCTTTTTCTCTCTTCCCTCCTCTTGGTAAGCCCAAAACAAACAAACAAATAAATAAATAAATAAATACAAGTAGAACCAAACAATCATTTTCTTCTTCTGATCCAATTTTTATTTTGAATTGGTGTCCGATTTTCCCTGTCTGGACCATGACAAAAAGTTTGACCTCTAAAATGCCTTTTAACCCTACTTTTGATTTGAGTTTGGCTGGGGGGACTGGAGATTGTGTGTTCTGTAATGTTGTGTAGATATATGTGGGGACCTGATAGCAAGAAGTAAGATGTGATTTTCACTGGACTGCTTTAGTATCCCAGAGTTCTCCTCGGCAGCTTTGCCTTTACCGTGCCCATTAATGCTATCTGTGGTCCACGGGTCTAGCATTTCTTATTTATAAGCATAGCTCTTGTTTGTGTTTATTTTGCTGAAAGTTAACAGTTATATGGGAATATAAAAAATCAGTGAAATGTACATCAACTTATGAATTACAGCCTTTTAATGAGCAGGTGCTTTGTTAGAAGGCTGGAGTGTATATTCTTATCATTTTTATTGAGTACAGAAATGCTTCAGCGCTAAAGAAAAAGAAACAAATGTGGATGGGCTGCTGTTTTCCTTTACCTTGAAGCTCGGTTCTGAAGATTGAAGTCTTCAAAGCCATTCATATTTCCAGTGTTCAATTTTAATTAAAAACCACATTCACAGTTCTATAATCCCATGTGCAGATTCCAAAAGAGAATTCATATAAGAGAAAATTAACTTATTATTATTAAAAGTACCCAGCCTTTCTAATAGATATAATAGAGAAACCATTTTCCCCAGGCTCAGTGGTAGTTCCTTACATAATAACTAAAATATTACAAAATTTAATGGATTTTCTTGCCTGCAAGTGATAATCAAACTTATTTTTAAAACCTATTTAATTTGACTTAGGTGATAAGGATATTTGCCCACAAAAGAGATGCTATAGGCTATCATATTTTTATAATATAATATAAAAGCATCGGAAGTTGAATGGTCTTGACTTTGTTAGATGAGAATCTGTTTATTTTTATTTTACTAACAATGGGAACTTCTGTCCTTAGAACTTTCCTCAGGTAAATTGAGAGCATAGGGTTTCTCTCTTAGATAACACTTCTTTTAACAAAGGCCACTTATCCTGTCCTCTACAGACAGAGCTGTTGATATGCAGATTGTTGTGATCCTTGTGTGCAGCAGTCAAGCCTCTTGGGGACAGGGTGGCTTGGGGGCTGGGAGCCTGGGGGCGAGGTGGGTGGGGTGCAGGCGGGGTTGGGTTGAGGTCCTCTTGGAGAACTAGGTCTGTCCCATCTGCCGCTCAGTCCCTGCAGGCCCTTTGGGAGAACGCACTGCCTGGCTGCACGAAGGTGCTGCATTTCAGAGAAGCCCTGCTCTTTGTTCCGCGGGAGACAACTATTAGGTGTAGCTGCTGGTTGAGGATCTTCTTTTGATTCTGTTTCCTAAAGTTTTGATGTGTGGATGTTTAGAAAATATACTCATGCCAACCAGATATATGTGAGATGAGTGAAAGCTTAAAAAGACACACAGGGAATTGATCTTGAAAAGGACCCCAAAACCTGGCCAGCGGCAGAAAAAGCTGCACCCAGGACAGAAGCCCGTGTCCTGGCTGATCTGAGCAGTTCGGACGGTGTCAATGAATTATTTCCAGCTTGTTACCTGCTGTGTCCTGACCTGTATGTGGTGTGATTTGTAATAGAAGTATGTTTCGTGTTACATTGCATAGGGACATGCTACAAGGTATCTGTGACGCACACAGAGCACCACACATAAGGTCTTACCGTACATACATACATATGCATATGTAAATAAAAGATTTATACATGGAATTCATTGCATGCTGCATTATGTAGGTACATGTTGTGTAGTATGTGTGACTGTATGATGTATATGTATTTACATATATGTACACATTTAAATGAAATGTTATATATGGAAAACATTTCTGTTTTACCCTTTCATGATAATTTAGCTTGCATAGTAAATTTAACTTATTTCCATCTTCTTGTCTTAGTAAGAAGCAATTTTTTTTCCTTCCCAGTGTTAATACTTTTTCAATATTGTCTGTCTCGGTATCTGTAAAGTTCTATCTTGGACAGTACTCCTGTGTTTCTTTCTCTGGATTCAGAGACTGTTTCAATGCTCTTAAAGAACTTTTTAAGTTGTTTAAGCAAATAGCTGCTCAAATGCACGACTTGTGATAATAGAAGTGTCTGGACAGGCGTAACGTTTATACACACTGGGCGGTGCTCAGTATGGACAGTGCTGATTTTCTGGTACAAGCATAGAAATTCTGAATGTATTACAGAGATTAAGAGAATAAGCTCTCAGAAATAAGGATTTATCCTGTCACCGCCGGTCACTCATCTGTCAGGAGCCACTTCGGAGCACTTGCAGATCGTGCCGCGTGAGCACAGAAGGCTCTCGAGCTTCATCGATCACAGCGTTTCTCGGGAGCCCGGGGCCCCGTGCAGCGTGGCCCCACCATACCCAGTCTCTGTAGATATTGTCTGCTATTTTCCTTTTTTCCCCCTGCTTCTCAACGCTATTTTCATTTTTTCTGTAATAATTGGATGTCCTTAAGTGAAAATATGTACACAGCCAGATTTTAAAATGATAAAGAAGGTGCTGGTGAGCTCCTTAATCCAGGCATGGACTGCAGTAGGGAATGTTATGAGTGTCGCTTTTGGCCCATGGTTCTCCTGCTTTATCAGCTGTAGAAGCACATGGAGGATTTTTAAACTAGCTTGTAGCCCCTCCCCCCAAGCTTCTGATTTGGTAGGCTTAAGACAGTGCCTGAGAATTTGCATTTCCAGCCATTACCCAGGTAAAACCAGTGCTGCCAGTAGGGGACCATACCTTGACAACCATATGGGACATCTGTCTGTTGATGTGTGACCATATAGAGTTCATACCAATGTCATCAGTTCTCACTCATGGTCTATGAAACCAAGGCCTGTGATATGACAAGAAAAAGTGCTTCAAAGACAACAGAGGCAATAAGAATAACTATAGAGAAAACAGAAATGACTGACATCTATCTACCTAGCCTTATTTTATTTTATTCTTTTGAGGCAGGGTCTCACTGTGTAGTCAAGGCTGGCCTTGAACTCACAGAAATCCTCCTGCCTCAGCATCCTGAGTGCTGGGATTACAGGCATGTGCCTCCACACTCAGCAGCTGGATTTTCGTATATATCTGAAGTTTTTCTTTTAGTTTCATGAAGTTTCAGGAAAATATTGTGACCAAATGCATTTTCTGCAATATTTTCTAGCCTACATTTTCATGATGAGAAGTGGCTGCTTGTTGACAAATTTAAATTAAAGTAAAAATGATTTTGGCAGTTGACTATAATTTTCTTTAAATAAGGGCATGGCAGGAAATTGTTTTCACAAGAATCTAAATTTGTTGAATTTAGTCGACTAAAAAGGACAATAAGAGTTGTCTTCTTATAAGTCACCAACATGGGTTTAATTTCAGATGAGTATTTTGTTGGGATGCAGATTGTATCATACAATAAAGATAACTATTGATGGTTATAGATTAGGATTGGGTGCCAGAAAGAACTGACCTTGAGAGACTGTGGCAATAAAGTAAGTGCTCTTTTTCCAAACCAGTGGGGAAGAATGGTAACCCACGTACATTTGGATTCACTTCAACTCAATAAATCTTGACTAAGGGTCTTCTGCACCTAAGGGATGTAGAGTACTAGGTGTGTTTTGGGATGCATTGGGCCTACAGGGCCAGTTTCTTGGCACTGTTATGAAAATGATGCAGAACATGTGAACATTCATAAATGTGAGTGCCCATAACTGCTTATTGGAGGAGTTGTCACTGAATGATGGAGACAGAAAATAAATTCTGTCACTGATGGAATTTTGTTAAGATTCATTGAGCAAGGGCCAGTGAGATAGCTCAGTGGAATAAGAACCTGCTTAGGTATGTGCAGGGACCGGGGTTTGATCCCTGGCACCATATGTCCTCCCTGCCCCACCCCTAGGTGCACTGAGCAGGCCACCAAAACCAGGCGTGGTGGTGCGCACCTGTAATCCCAGTGCTGGAGAGGCTAAATACAGGAGGACCACTATGAGTCCAAGCTGCGTAGTGAGCCCTGTACCAAATACATTAAAAAAAAAAAAAAAAGATTCATAGAGCAAATTCACCAGATATCACAGCATATACCATGAAATAATCTGTCCTTTTTAGACAATGGAGCAACCTCCATCTTTCCATGTCATCAGGGTCTGGGCCAGTGTTGTTGACCGTTAGGCACCTGGGCCACAGGGGGTTCATTGTATCATTGAAAGTTCTGTTACTATGTTTTTCTGTAAAGACAAAAGATGTTAATGTGTGAGGTTTTTTTTTTTTTTTTTTCCTAAACTAAGAACTTTATTAATCAAGTTGAACCGCAATGTTGGCAATTTGAGATACCTGAGTGGATTTCGCATTGCAATTTGGGACTTAGTCTTTCAAAGTTTTTCCACGGCTGGCACACAATTCTAATCCTGCTGCTTTCTCTCTTTTCAGCGTCTCGTGGAAGCTGCGGAGGAAGCACACTTGAAACATGAATTTGACGCCGACTTACAGGTAACTGACTATAATTTGGATTAAGCTGTTTTGCATATTTCACTGATTGGGAGAGAAAGCCTTCCGAGGGAAGAGTCCCGAGTTGGAATAAACATGCCTCCTCAGCTGGGCAGGATGGCTGCCCTCAACCTTTCCCCCAAGGGCTGCTGTCATGGGTGACACCACACACTCACATGCGTGGACCCAGATGTCAAGGAACTTTTTCCCCAGTGTCAGGGTTGAGGTTAGAGCACTCAGCTGACTATAATGGTGAATCGACAGAACAGCAGAACATACCCAAACCTTCTTCCCTGGCTGCATTTTGAAAGACAAATGACTGTGAGCAATGTTGTAATAGATCTAATCTCCAGTTGGTTGTTAAAAATTAACAATATTATGTGTCAAGTTTAATTCATTTGTGTATCCAGGCTTTGAGAGCCTATTTCATAAATTTCTTGTGGTAGATCTTGTGCTGATCATGCTTGGTTGACACGATTTAGATGCTGATGTACAGGAAACAGTAAAGGTAGCAAGTCAGTGGAATAATACTTCAAGTTTTGGGGGGATGCTTGCTGAAGGAATTTTTATCTAAGCTGTCGTTTTCAATTGTGGGGCTTTTCACTACTGCAAAAACAGAAGGACTAAATTTTTAAGTCTGAACTTCACTAGAACAAATCCCTTTGGGCGGCACATAGTCATAATTAGGACACCTCATATATTTTGCTGTGTTTTCATTTGTATGGAAAACTTGAAGGCAGTTGTAAGTCTTCAAGGCCAAAATGTGATAGAAAAACCAAAGGTGGGCTTTGGCTGTGTCTCTGTCACACAGATGCACCTCTTCTCATCATTTTCCATCGCATTTTTGTCCCCGTGGATAGAAGAATACACACTCAAGAGGGGCGGTTCAGGAAACTTTAATGTGGGGAATATTTGCAAATACGTGTGGTCAGGGTTAAGAAAATGCGACGCACGATAGTCTCATGTGGAATGGACAAGTGGTGGTGGTGTGCCCTGGGGCTAGACACGCTTCTGGCACAAGAAAGTAGCTTCCGGGAGAGAGAATGACCACCCGGAAAAGGCACCTGATGGAGAAGAGGAGTCATCCGTGGTAAGCATGTAAGACAGGAATGGGGTGGGGGGAGGCAGCTCGGAACCCTCTCCTGCTTGCTTATCTCTTCCCCACCATTATAGAATCCAAGTGTTTCTCCATACCGTCCAGTTTTCTGAGTCAGTGAGCTGGGTGGAGAAGCTGAAGAGTGGGTTGGGGGATTGAAAAACAGCTGGTCTAACAATTGAAGGGTCATTTTCAGGGATAACACTCAATGTAGGAAACACACAGAGCCAGAAATATAAATAAGGACTGGGGCTTGCAGAGGGAGGTAGCCAAGTGCCAGGGATTGTAGGTACCATTGGGGGAGGAATGGGAAGCTGGGCCAGATGTCTGAGCAGTGCTGTAAGACGAAGGACAGAGGGTTGAAGCAGCACTTTGAAAATACCAAGTAGCTATTTGCCTTCTGTCTCAGTTACTCTTCTCTCGTTGCTGGGACAAATACCCGACATCCAAAATGAAGGAAGGAAAGGTTTATTTAGCTCACAGTTACTGGAGGTTTCAGTCCATACTCAGCTGGGTCCAAGGCAGAGCGGCACATAGCAGAAAGCAACCTTTCATGGTGGCGGCAAAGAGCAAAAGCACAAGGGAGGGGTAGCAGCAGCTCAAGCAGCTAGCTTCTCTTCCCACCTTACATTGTAATGCAAATTACCTGCCAGGGCAGGTACAGCGTCTATACCTACAATAATCAACCACAAACTCCAGAAGCCCCCCAAGACTGCATGAGGCTTTGGGGAAACACCTAGACACAAACCATAACACCCTCTTTCGCTAGTTGGTACTCAAAAGGCAGCTCCACAAGGGCCGTTTCCTGGCCATGCCTGTCCTTAGTGAGTCTCAGCTTCAGGGAGTATGGACCTGGAGTGGGCTGGAGGGATTCTGTGGGAGCAACGGGAAGCCCCCTTGCAAATGTGCACCTGATTTGGGTCCCTTGCGTGCACTACCGCAGACTGCCATGTTCCTGGGGTCTCCTGGCACTGTTTCCTAGTGTGCTGGTTGTAAATGACGGGAACTCAACCTAAACCACAGTATGACAGTGAATAAAATAATCCACATGTCTACTCTGGTAATAGGAAAAGATAAATACATTAACAGATGAGGATAGGAAGTACTCACAGTAAAAAGACAACTAATATATATGAAAGAAATGATAGAGCTCAAAAATCATGGTAAGGGCTGGGGAGGTAGCTCAGCAGTCTAAGCACCTGCCTGGCAAGCGCAAGGACCCAGGTTCAATCCCCGGTATCAGATGCTGTGTTGGCCCCATGCTGGGCTGGCCCCTGAAACCAGGCATGGTGGCACAATCCTGCAGTCCCTGCACTGGCGAGGCTGAGGATCAGTATGAGCCCAAGCTGAGTAGTGAGACACTGTACCAAAGAAATAAATACGTAAATACATAAGTATTTTTAAAAAAATCATGATAATAATTACTTCAGGCAATGATCTTTACTTGTGCTGAAGGTGGGGGTTAAACATTTGATGAAAAATTCATTGAGAGTTTCCAAGTATCTGCCCACAAATTATTTAATTGCACAAGAAAAAACAGCATCATTATGGTGTAGAAACCTGGCAGACATCACCTCACAAAGGTAATCAGTGTCACCCATGATGAGACAAAGTGACCACAGAGCAGCTACAGTGGCAATGATTTGGAAGGATACAGTGTCCCTTCCGTAGAAATCCTGCTTAAAATATGTACCCTGGATCTCACCATGATAAAAACAGCTCTAAACTGAAGAATATTCTGCAAAGTAGCTGGCTATACTTTTCTTTTAAAATGTCAAGGACAAAGGAACGTTGAGGCCTTGTTCTAAATTTAAAAGGAGGCTGGTGAGATGGCTCAGTGGTCTAAAGCACCTACTTAGAACAAGCTTAGCAAAGCACAGGGACCGCGGTTCAATCCCCAGCACCACATGCCAGCCAGCCCCGCCCCCTGGTGGGCTGAGCTGGCCACACACACACACACACATACACACACAAATAAATAAATAAAATTAAAAAAAAAATAAATTTAAAAGGATTAAGGACGCTGCACAACTACATGCAGTGTGATCGTGAACCAAAAAGAAAAATTTACATGTAGACAGTCCATTAAATAATCATGTTGTAATCAATGTCGTGTTGCCTGGTTTTGGTCCCTATTCTGTGAGTATGTTAGAGAATAGCCTTATTATCTTTTTCTGGACAAAGCATTTGGATTCATTGGCCAGGGAAGGAGTAAATTTACAGGAGTGAGAAATACTATTAGAAACAGGGACTGCTTGGGGAAATCTCATATGTATGTATTAGCTATGCATGTATTTGAGATATGGTCTCACTCTGTAATTTAGGTTGGCCTTGAACTCACTATGTAGCTCCTGCTGGTCTTGAACTCACAGAGATCCTCCTGCCTCAGCCTCCCGAACACTGATATGGCAGGCATGTACCACCATGCCCAACTGAAAATCTTATATTTATGACTACAGATCAGTTTTCTAAGCATAGGTGAGCTGGGACATGGCAAGAAATAGTGTAATTGGCTTTAGCTGATTATCCGGCAGCAGAGGGAAATGTTCAGCTAAAGTACAGATATACTTTTTCTCTTTGCTCATCTGAAGCTGTTGTTATCCTCTGAGAGTGTTCTAGCTCTCTATTATTGATGCTTTACAATAAAATTCTGGTGTCACACAATTGATTCCCCTTGTCAGTGTGTTTCTGTGGACACAAATGAAATACTGGGGTCTCTTGAAGGAAAACTAGACATCCAGAAAACAAGTCACTAGTTTTTGTTCCCTGGGGAACAAGAAAGGTGTGTCTAGTACAGCCTTCTCATTCGCCCCTTCTAAGCACGAACAGAAAACCATCAGAGGGTGTGATTGTGATCCGAACACAGGACGTGCTGTGCAAGCAGCCTGTCAGTGTCCCCAAGTGTCATCTACATTCTGGACCACGGAGCTCGGTGCAGCCCCTGGGTCAGCAGGCTTCCTGTGTACTTCTGTGGAAGCCTGTGAAAGGCAGGCCTTTCAGAAATGGATGTGCGTGGAAGATCTTGTCCCTGCTTAGAGAAAGGTTTCGAAGTCACTGAAGCTTTGAAGCTATTAAGTGCAAGTCGGTTAACAGCTCGGGTGTGAGCTGCTATTACTGAGGTAGCTGGCCTGTGCCAGGCTCTGAGTTTATTGCTCTGATGGTCCATTAGAGCTGATCAATTGTTAATCTGGGTGCTTCTGACCTCAGAGCAACCCCTGACAGAGGATCGTTTCTATCAAAAAAAAAAAAAAAAATTCAGGCTACCATCTGCTCCCATGAAATACTGTTGAGGAGGACCCTACACTGGTAGCTCAGGAAGAGCAGAGGGGCTGGAGTCTCTTCTTAGAAGGGAAAACAAAAGTGCCTTTTTTTTTTTTTGGCTTATTTATTTATTCATTTTTTATTTTAATGAGAAAGAAATAGCAATGAAACAATTTCAAAGCAGGTTAGTGGGATAGTTACAATAATTAATACATTGCATACTGTTGTCTTTGTAGTAGTTTTTCAGAGCGCAAGATCCTGTCTTAGTTACTCTAGTCTTGTTGCTGGGACAAATGCCCAACACCCAAAATGAAGGAAGGAAAAGTTTATTAGCTCACAGTTCCCGAAGGTTCCAGTCCATATTCAGGTAGGTCTAAAGCAGAGCAGCACATAGCGGAAAGCTACCTTTCAGGGCAGCAGCAAAGAGCAAGAGCACAAGGGAGGGGTAGCAGCAGCTCAAGCAGCTGGCTTCTCTTCCCACCTTACATTGTAATGCAAATTACCTGCCCCCGGGCAGATGCAGCATCCACACCCACTGTAATCAATCACAAACTCCGGGAAACCGCCCGAGACTGCATGAGGCTTTGAGGGGGACACGCAGACGCAAACTATAACAGATGCAGACACGATATCTTGTCTAAATAAT